AGGCCTCTTCCTCAGCTCTGTCAGACTTTGTGAAGCGCGACATGCTCGTTTTAGGGCCACAGACTGCACTTCAGCCAGCACACAAACACAAAAGAACATCAAGGCCTGGATGACCCAAAACTTCTTACTTCGAAATTCAGACAAAGCTGAGGTCATTGTAATCGGCCCTAAACATCTTAGAGAATCACTGTCTGAACAGATAGTCACCTTGGATGGTGTCAGTTTGACCCCCAGCTCCACTGTGAGGAACCTTGGAGTTATGTTCGACCAAGACATGTCATTTGACCCCCATATTAAACTAGTGTCTAGGACGGCTTTCTTCCATCTGCGCAATATTAACAAAATTAGAAACATCCTGTCTAAGCAGGATGCTGAAAAACTAGTCCACACATTTGTAACCTCTAGATTAGATTACTGTAACTCTCTATTAGCAGGATGCTCCAGGAAGACTGTTAAAAGTCTCCAGTTGGTCCAAAATGCTGCAGCACGAGTACTGACAGGAACTAGAAGGAGAGATCATATCACTCCTGTCTTAGCTTCCTTACATTGGCTCCCTGTAAAATTTAGAATAGAATTCAAGATCCTGCTCCTCACATTTAAAGCCCTCAACAATCAAGCCCCTTCATATATCAAAGAGCTTATAACACCTTATTATCCAAGTAGATCCCTTCGTTCACAAAACACAGGCTCTCTTGTGGTTCCAAGAGTCTGTAAGAGTAGAACAGGAGGTAGAGCATTCAGCTACCAGGCTCCTCTCCTGTGGAACCAGCTCCCACTCTGGGTTCAGGAGGCAGACACCATCTCAGCATTTAAAGTAAAACTAAAAACCTTCCTCTTTGACAAAGCCTATAGTTAGTTCTGGATCAGGTGAGTCCTGAACCATCACTTAGTTGTGCTGCTATAGGTCTAGACTGCTGGGGGAACTCCCATCATGCACTGAGCACTTCTTCACTTCCCTCTGTCTCTCTGTCTCTCTGCCCCCCCACACCTGTTTATTTATTTATTTATTAGTTTTAACATGTCATCATGTCAAAGTGTCACTTTGTCCTTCCATGGTCCCTCTGGCTCTTCTCTCTATCTCGTTTCAGATAACTCTGGCACCGGGACTGCAGGACAACAATGACTACCATCGACATTGTTAGCATTAATTAAAATAACTCAGTAATTCATTAATATATCTAATCCTGTTGTAGATCACCACATTGTTATTGTTATAGTCAGCCCTGATAGTGATTGGTGCCCAATTGTTCCCGGTCTCTCTCTCTCCACCTCATCTCTCTCTTCTCTCCCCCGCTTTCCACCCATCTCTCCTCTCCTCCCCCCTTTTTCTTTCCTCACCCCAACCGGTCAAGGCAGATGACCGCCCACATTGAGCCTGGTTCTTCTAGAGGTTTCTCTCTGTTAATGAGGGAGTTTTTCCTCCACAGTCACCAAAGTGCTGCTCATTGTGGGAACTGTTGGGTTTCTCTATGTTAATATTGTTTTAAGGTCTTGACCTTTAAATGTAAAGTGCCTTGAGATAATGTAAATTATGAATTGGCGCTATATAAATAAAATTGAATTGAATTGAATCCTATCGAAGAACCATCATTGTAAGAATGTCCTAATTTTCTGACCTGACAGTATGGAAACACGATGAATAACACCTGTGTCAATTTGAGTGAACATTCATCAACCAACCAGACATCGTTTTAAACTTCTGTTATCCTTGCACTTAAGGAGCCTGTACACCGCAACAGTGTAGTGAGGACTGTCACAAGGTGAATCTAGAAACTATCTATGCCCCTTTTCAAATAAATATTTAATTTCATAGGATAAAGCTACTTCAAGTGAAGGATAAAAGTATAAAACTATGTCTGCTAACACACCCGGTACATCAATATCAGTCATTTAAGTAAAGAAACGGAGATCAATGCAGACAGTCTGTGGTACTGTGAGCAAAGTGCGTGTCAGGTTAGTTATGTATGGCTCCAAGCAGCTGACAAAGGTTTATCATTCCCTCTGATGACAATCTTTCATTAACAATCCGCAGCAGCTCCACAGGGTTTTTAAGAACGCTGATGTCATGTCCCAAAGAAACTGATTGGTCAGTGGGCAGAGCTTTTATGATGCTTGACCTCTTATCGCCAACTCAGGTTAGCTGTTCAACATAAGTTACCATGGTGATTTACCCCGATAAGAAGAGAACGGGCTTGTAAGAATGAAAACCCAGAATTCAACCTGATGTTACTCCGATAACCCAAATCTAGCTTCATAGTGCAGGGCCCTGACTGATCTGTTAATTGTGCAATTGCCTTCACATATTCTTTTTTCTAATATGTTTGTCCTCTCTTACTTCGTGGTACATTAAAACAAGGAGCTGATCTTTGTGCATGTCTGCAGATGGAATTAGCTGAGTAGGACAAATAGTATTTAAAGAAGTAGGAACTGCGTGATTCTGTGATTCACTTCCTCCTCCACAGCCGGAGCTCACTGGTCATGTGATCAAAACTGAGCAGACGGACTGAGGCGCTGTGTGTGCGCGTGTGTGTCTGTGGAAAGACACTGTGTGTGTGTGTGTTAGGAGACACTGTGTGTGTGTTAGGAGACGCTGTGTGTGTGGACACTGAGGTCTGCAGGGATCTGGAGGTACGAGCACTTTAACGCACAGGTTGTTTTAACCGTGTTACCGCTGCTGCTCACACGACAACACAACCAGCGGTGAGTTGTCGCTTTTTTTTTTATCCAGACCAAGAAAAAGAGAAATGTCCTCGGGTCGGACTAATGTCAAAAAAAAAAAAAGACAACATGGCGAGTTGGCTCACTTTGAACCACTGGGTTTTAGAGCAAACACGAGACGCGGTGTTCCTGTTTGGGTGTGAATGCGTGTAGATGTAGCGCCGATGATAAAACAGAATAATGAAGGACGATAAGAAAACGCAAACACGTGTTTCTCATTCAGAAACAATAAGATACGTAGTTTAAACTTAAGCACAGGCTTCTTTGGAATTATTGGAAAACTGCGATGCACGATGATTTAAATGATCTGTCAAGGAGGGTGCGCGCGCGTGTGCGTGTGTATGCGTACACACTTGTTTACTTGTTTTTCCAGAAAACAGAACCTCAACCTTAAGCTTTTATTGTGTTGGGAACCAAATGACTGGAAACTACAAGAACCTTTTTCAATATAATATTCAAATGTGTCCCCATATTTTTTGGTTTGTCGATTTTTTTAAAAAATATATAGAGAGAGGAACATAAGGGCATTTTGTATTATCCAGCTCCAAAGGGCGAAACGCAAATGTTGCTCCTTAAAAGAAATACACTTTGTTGTTGTGTTCCCTCCGGTGTGAGTCCTGGTTTAGGATTATGGTCATGGTTAAGGTTAGAGGTCAGATGTTACTCACAGTTTATGTGCGAAGGCAAGTTTGATCATATTATAATTTGCACCATTGAAAGTGCAGAGGAACAGATCCATTAAAAACTAAACAAAAAAACATGAAAACGTTTTGGAAGTAAAAACAATCCAATAAATGTTCACATATTAAAAAGAGGTTGTGACGTATTGGGATCTGTGGAAAACAACACTGTTTCATGGCCTTTTGTAAAAGAATTGAAACTTGATCCACAGGGAGCAGAGAAACGAATCTGCTTCACTTTAGCTCCGTGTTGACTCTGGGAACACTGAGCAAACCTGCCCCACTAGATGTTCAAGTAGATCGGAGAAGTATTTAGGCCCAAGACCATTCAGTGCTTTACAGACAGGTTTTGAAATCTGTCCGTTGACACACTGGTGTAAGAAGAAGAAGATTTACTTTTATCGTCACGTTAACACTTTTACATGCATACATGAAATTGTTCTCCGCATTTCACCCATCCAGTTGGCACCTGTCGAAACACGCATAGAAACACGCATTGACAGATGCCATGTACACACATATACAGTGTGCTGCTGTTGCCAGCGCCCGGGGAGCGGATGTTTAATTTGAGATATGATAAATATGCCATATTTACCATTTGATTCCCAGTCTCTGTTCTTGTTCCATAAAATGCTTAGTATTCTTCTAACTAAGGCAAAAGAAAACCATGGAAACTCACATGGTAATGTTCAACCTAAACTGATTCCCATGTTTTCTGCTGAAAGGAACAATGTCTGCCTCCCTGAAGCTGGAGGAGACTCGACAGCGGATTCGCAAAGAACTGGATACTGTAGTGGACTTCTGGCTGAAATACTCTCATGACACTGTACATGGGTACTGTAGAAATGAAAATACTGCCTGCTCATATCTTTCTAAAGTACAATAAACCTGAATACTAAGCAGTTTATATACAATCCTCGTGGTGAACTTTGTTTCAGGGGCTTCTTCACTTGCATTGGGCGGGACGGAAAGGTTTATGATGAGCTGAAGTACGTCTGGCTGCAGGGTAGGCAGGTAAGGATAGATACTCGCAGTGTAAAACAGACAATCCTCTATGGGTCCTGGTCAGTTCTGTGATTGAATTGGGTAGTTTATTTCATAGGTGTGGATGTATTGTCGCCTGTACCGAACCATGGATCGCTTCCGCAAGCCTGAGATCCTTGAAGCAGCCAAAGCTGGTGAGTAGAAACGTTACGCCTAGTTCCGCTAATTAAACCTGTTAAGTCCCAGCAGGTGAAAATCAGATAGAGTAAAGCACAAAGAAGATACGTGCATTAAAATGTCTGGACCTATGTTCTCAATTTAAATCCAGGGGACTGTGTCTGTTTCATTTGGTCACCTGTCATATTCCCTGTGTGGTTGTTCACTGTCGGATACTTCACAACGTCATCAAACATTTTTGATTGAGAGCCCTCGCGACAGAAAATTACATTGTCATTATTATTTAGTTTTTAAGGTAGAACAAGTCATCACTGTCTGGATTTCATGTCTGAGAATACCTTTATAATCATCGCTAATACCAGTTGTGTGTAATCAGAAGCTAATGTTATATTGTTGGGTTTGTATCTCAGGAGGAGTGTTCCTCCAGAAATTTGCCCGCGTGTCCAACAGCAGCGGTCAGTGGAAATGTGCCTTCTGCTTAACAAGAGATGGTAAAGCGGTCAAAATTCAGAGGACCATATTCAGTGAGTGTTTCTACATCATGGCCATGGATGAACTGAGTAGAGTGACTGGTGACAAGGACATGCAGGTATGAATAAAAAAATACTTTAAATGTATTATACGTTCTTACTTGTTAAATAGAAAGAAGTATTTTCCCTCTACATAATGCTAGTTTCAACACGTGACCAATTATGTGGTCACACCTCTTCAGTCTTAATATATCAATGGACCAAGAACTGAAAAAAGCAGCCATGCCCTATGTATGCTGTGAATATCAATTGTGAAAGCTCATTTTCACAGATTCATCATAAGTTATTATTCACTTTTAATGATTAAAGTTGTAAATATGCAAAAGGCTGTCAGATGTTTTTGCACTTCTTCACAGTGAAATGTACATATTGGACATAAGAGGCTTCAGTTTAAAACAAGGACCATACTGCATAATGATAAAGAGTCTGCAGCATTGCTAGTGACTCTGTGAAGCTGCACTCAGGCACAGTGATTCTTTGAGCTGAATTTTAACATCAGCATGTTACCATATACTCTCAGTGACACTCCTAACATGCTGATTCTTCTCAGGTAATTTTTCAACACATATTATTCATTTTATTATTGTAAGACATAAACTTAAAGTGCAGATGAATCTGATAGGAATGCCATTGGCTTTGCAGTCATGGTCATAAACCAAAGTATTAGGCAATATAAAACTCAGGTGATCACAATATGAAGGTTGATCTGCTTGGCACCATCAGTATCTGTGTCAGATTTCTTTGCCAAACCTCACAGTAGTTGTTGAGATGTGTCATTTATGAGCGGTTTGTGGTGCTTGATGAAAGGTGAGGGATTTAATAAGGTGGACTTCCTCTTGGAAACATGACAGCTTATACTAAAGTTCATGGTTACCTGCATCCATACCACTATGTTTTCATTTTTAAATGCATCACATGTGCTACAGATACGATATAGAGTTATAGAACTGCGGAAACAGAGATGTTAGAAAACTATGGCAGAGAAACTCACAGCTGTTTGGGTCTTTTTGGACACATCACCAATCAATAACAGTGTTGATGACCCTGTTTTCTTTGCTTACAGCTGTTATGCAGTTAAATTCTGCATTTTACAATGATCCAACTGGTTACATGTGTAAGGGACCCCATTTTACCATTTGCTGCAGCTAACAACCATAAGCTTCATGTTAATCGGCACCCACATGCCTAGTTTATGTTAATGGTCACATTAGAATAGGTATTAAAACTGATACTAACCAAAAAACTAATTTAGACAGAGATTGTTTTAATTTGAAAACGTATTTGTAGCCTGAGATAGTGTGGATCAGTGTTGTCAGACTCAACTACCAATCCCTGCTATTGTGGCTAAAAACATGTAAAAATGGGAACATGGTAGATAGGAGAAATACTCTAAATAAATATGTAAGTCCATTCTTGATACATTTTTAGAGTCTGCACCAATTAGGTATGAGAACATGCTTTAATTGCCATTGCTTTAATATCCTGTCATCTCCTCTGCTGTGTTCCTAGCTGGAGGCCGAACAGATGATGGAACAGTTAATCCACTGGGTTCGAGTGGACTCGTCAGGCTTGGGCAGGCCCCAGCTTCCTGGAGATGTTCCTACCAACAGCATGGCCATTCCCATGATGCTCTTGTGTCTTGTGCAACAGCTCACTGAAGGCCGGGGTCAGGAAGTGGTTCAGAAGTACAGAGAACTGGGCGGCTGGTGCGTACAGCAGATTCTACAGCACATACAGGTATGGACGGATAGGACTTGATGCTGTCTGGTCAAAACGGCTTGTCAGAATTATGTAATTACAACCAGGGCAATTTGTGAGTGCTCAATGAAAAAAACAGATTCAAGTCAGTTAGTGTATGGTGTACATTCACATAAAGCTTAAAATAATGTTTCATAGAAAATATTTTGATCGTCAAATATTTCAGTGAACCCTTCATGATGACTGCCCAAGCTTAGCTTAAAAAAAGAATTAAAATCAAACTCACTTGAAAGATTAAACACTTGGACATTAGTGTGATAAGAACTACATAAAATGACAGAAACCATTAAACAAAAATTATTTGATGTGGACTTTGGATTTGGTGATGAAGACACTTTGGCTTTTGGGGAGCAGTCATGTCGTCCATCTTTATACAGTCTATGATCTTTTCGGCTAGGGCCTGCTAAAACCAGCCAGGAGCATTGCAAATACAGATACAATGTGATTGATTGATTTTGCACATTGTTGCAAAATAGGTGGTACTCACCGTAGTTAATATACAAACTGGGAAACTTCTTGCTGTGAGGTGACAGTACTCTCAGTATACTGCAAATATCATTTCTTCTCATCAAAGAAATGTAAATGAGCTTCAGGGGGTTTAAGTACTCATAAGCACGACATGGACTTACTGTATTTAGCTCTGCTCTGGAGAAACCAGGCACGCAAGTTCAAAGATGGATAAGAAAACTACAGTTAAATACAGTTTTCACCTGAATCCTCTCGTATCATGTCACGGTCAAATGTGCTAATATTCTTAAAAGAAAATTACACTTTAATGAAACTTTTGTTTTTGTGGCACTGGCCGTACTTAACTCAAATAATTTCAGCAATCTCAAAACATGTTTTTTGGGTGCCTTGCATTATTATTAAGTGCTTTGGTTACAGTTAAACTTTGACTTTGTAGCAGAAGATTCTCCCATTGATATGCTGTAATGTCTTTTATCGGTACAGAGAGACGGCACAGCTATTTTAGAGAATGTGTCAGTGGATGCAGCAGAACTGCCAGGTTGCCAGGGCCGACTTCAGAACCCAGGTAAACACTTGGACTGCTGACCAGTCAGCCAGATAAGAGCACGAGAGTGCACGAGAAAGCTGTTCTTGTTTGCTTAACTCAACAGTTTCCCTTTTGGCTCTTTCCTCATGTTAACCCGTGCTGACTCAGGCCATGCCCTGGAAGCAGGCTGGTTCCTGCTTCAGTACAGTGCTGAGTGGGCAGACGAGGAACTCCAGAAGACTGCCATCCACAAGTTTGTGGAGCTGCCTTACAAGAACGGATGGGATAAAGAGCACGGTGGTCTCTTCTATTTCCTGGATGTGGATGGTTACTGCCCCACACAGGTGAATCAGTCTTTATAGGAGACACAGGATAGGATTTTCGTTTCGACAGTTGATGCTTTTGCATTTTAGATAATGTTAGCATTTGGTTGGTCACTATGTTTGCTTGTGTGTCTGACCAGTTGGAGTGGAGTATGAAGCTGTGGTGGCCTCACTGTGAGGCCCTCATTGCCTTCCTGATGGCCTACAGTCAAACCAAGAAGCCAGAGCTGCTGGACAGATTCTCTCAAGTTTACGAATATACCTTCAGTCATGTGAGTGTACACTACAGTGCTGATGAGGCACAGTAGGACACATCTGCGCAATTTTTAACTACTCGTTTTAAAATATTCAGTATTTTGGATAATGTTTATTCTTTATGTGAGTGAGATGTTCTGATCAATCTTATTTCTGTGACTATGACCTGACTGACCTGACTTATTTTCATCAAAAATGGAAGCAATCTATCAGAAATTATATCTGTCTATACCAGGGGTTCCCAAACTTTTCCATGCAATGGCCCCCCCCAAACAGCATTAGATTCTGGCCAGGGACCCCCTTTGCAAACCCACAGACAATGCTACAAAATATGTAAATAAGAAACATCAACTTTTTCTTACAAAATTATTACATTTGTCTAGCATAAGAATATTATTAACTAACATGTTTTCAACATTGTATTATATTCCCACTGAATAACAAACTTTAAAATTAATTGTTGATGGTTTGTGCATACGTGCGTGTGTGTGTGTGTGTGTGTGTGTGTGTGTAAGTGACAGACAGAGATTACACTAGTGGGAGGGATGGGCTTGAATGATGTTTTGACTGGCGGGCAATCAGAAAGATGAGCGTGGCAAATAACATTTCGATATGATATATTATTATAA